CTAAATTTAAAGTCGATTTGCTTTCAAAATATGTAAATTGGGCAGATGATTGGAATTATTTTCTAATGTAGATGTATAATATTACATTTAACTGAGCAATTTTAGTAAGAGGACATGGTGGAAGTTTAGCTGACAATTACATTGCATTGTGTTCTGAGAACACTGTGAGGAATCCAAATTTCACTTTCTGGCAATGTATTGAGGTCATTTAGCACAAAAAGAAAACAGAATGTTTGTAATGCTAACTGGGATACATATATACTTTTCTTCCTAGGAATGATAGAATTCACCTGTGTCATGTTAATGGTGAATCTCATTTTAAAAGTGAAATGATAAGTATCGCTAGAAACAGATCATAACATTTCAGTGAGCGGGATAATCAAAATCTGTCCAAAATTTATTCTGAGATTAGTCAGTAAATCTGCAAAGGGAGCAGACATAAACTGTAATCCTCATCCACGAAAACATCTACTCCCACTTTGAAATTTACAATATCTAGATATAGTACTGTATTTCATTTTAAAAGATGTAGACAGCAAAAATACCCAGGTTTAAATTACTTACAGAAATTATTTCCCCCTTTATCAAGAAAGCCAATTATATTAACAAGGGAAATTTAACAGGCAAAATTCTCCTTAGGAGATTTATTCCACTTAGAATTTTTCTGTAGAATACAGTTTAGAAAAGTAATTAAAGAGGTCTCAGGTGTTTTTCATCTGTAGGTCATCCTTTTCAATCTGAATTACAGTTCGTGGGTAAAGTTGATGGTTCTGGGGAAATAAATTAATGCCAATTCAATTTAATATAAACAAATGCCCATATAAAAAAAAAACCTGGCAGTATCCATAGTAACCAGGGATTTCATGAAGATTCTGCTCTTACCTTTAGATGCAGTACCTACATTAAGGAGGCCTACTGTAGACAAGCCAGCATGAACTTCACATGAGCTGGATACAGAAGACTCCATTTGTTTATGTGCCATATTCCTTTTTCTACACTAAATCCCTTTGATCTGCGATTTTACCATTGAAATAAAAAGCAGTCAAAGAATTATGCTTCATAGTTATCCACTGTACTATAAAATAATGTATATCATAGTGGGGTGTTTTGTGAACAAAATCCATACTATCACTCCTAATATATGTATGTGTGTGCACACTTCCACTTTGTATGCAAAAATGGAAGTATTAATAGTGGCTCATCATTCTTTTATTTTTCCAAGATTTTAAAAGATATGTATGGCTCACAGACCCAGCTAGATTTTTATACATGCTTAAAACTGAGTACCACTGCTTTAAGCAATCAGGGACTTCTGTTCTTCGTGGCAAACAGACACCTTATTCCACCGGGTAGGAAAACGTAAGAGAAAAAATGGACAAATCTACTGTTGGGAAAATACATGGAAATTTCTTTTTTCCCTTACTGGACTATTCTGTCCCACAGTATACGTTCATGGACAACTTGTAAATTAGTGTTTTCAAGTGAAAGAGACATATCATACATAAAACATAAAAACGGGAAAACTGATGTCAAAATATTGTAATGCATTCCAACGTCACGTAGATATGATTTGCTGCACTGCTTCTGATTAACAGTGGTAATCAGGAAATGAAAATTATAATTATTCCCTCTAGGAAAACTACTATTACTACTATACACTACGTATTTTTGAGGCGAAAATCCTAAGGGCTGAGAAGGTAAAATGGTTCAGTCCCTACATTATTTCTACTCGACAACACTCCTGCTAATTTGCATTTCCACCCCAGATATACTGAATCAGTATCTATAGTTCAACAAGATCCCCAAGTGAATCTTAGAGATCCCCAGGTGGTTCTTATGTATGGCTGTTATATAACATCCTTATTTGAGTATATTTTGCGTGGAAATGCAAATCCTCAATAGGGGTCATCGTGGACCGAACCAGCTGGAACCCAATCACAACTGCACAGTCCGAGCACTTGTTGAGGGAGTCCTGACTGCTCTGCTGCATTCTCAGAATGAAATGTTGGAGAAAGGGTGTGGACAGGACTGCTCATGCACTAAATGGAATTAATTCATTTTCACTGTGCATTTTAAGGAGCTCTGGTAGTGTAATGGTTACGAATCGGGTTGCTAATCTCACAGCCAGCAGTTCAAAACTACCAGTGGTTCCGTGGGAGAAAGATGAGGTTTTCTGTTCCTGTAAAGATTTATATATAGCCTTGGAAACCCTATACAGGGTCACTATGAGTTGGACCAACTCCATGCCATAACACCACTTTACTTTTTAAACTATAGAAATGGTGTTGACTCTGTGAGGAGCAACAATCCAGATTATTTTAGAGAATTAGAAAAATAAAAATGGAACAAGTTTTCTCAGTTTTATTCCTAGGAGGAGGGGTGGGGTTTGGTTACTTCCAAGTTTAGGGAGTAGAACAAATTTGTCAATCTTCAGGCAATAGAGAAATCTGAACCTCAGATTCCTAGCTGTGACACAGAGTCCAAACTTGCAACACTTTTAAAAGAGTGCTGAGATTCACCCAGCAAATGTGTGGGGTTATTAACCAATCAGTGGCTCCACACAGCCTTGGTTCCCCTGGATAACATTGCTATAGGAAAGTTGGTTAAGAATCATACATACCTTACCAAAAAACTGACCTGTTTTTAAAACTGTAGTGAGTTAGACAGAATACAATTCAGAGTAACCTACTATGTTATTTCCAAACTCTGTTTTATTTGTATATTATGTTCTATATAGGCAAGAATTACTGAAGTAATTACTGCGAAGGAAAACGTATAAAAGTAACCCTAACAACAACTATTATATATCAAGACCAACACAAATGCATGATGGAGAGAAAAAATGGGGGAAAATGGTTTTATTACAAGAGAAAAGGGTAGTTTAAATGATTAAAAAAATAATATACAGAAATACTATCTTCCATTCAAGGTATGAGAAAATTGTTTGGAATCCGGGCACTATAGGATCAGCATTGGACTATGAACCACAAGGTCGGCAGTTCAAATCTACCAGCTACTCCTTGGAAACCCTATACAGGGTTGCTGTGAGTTGGAATCGACTCAATGGCACTTAACAATAACAACAACATCCTTCTATTATGGCTCCTTTTAATTCAATAATCTCCTGAAAAATAGTTTTTCAAGGAAATTTTCTACATATACGTTTCAGGAGAGAAAAAGAAATATTTATGCTGAACTGATTGATACACCTTGAAAAAAAAATTTTTTTTCCCCTTTTTTTGACCGAGTACAGGTTAGAAATAAAGGAATTCTGGGTGGTGTTCCTATTCCAGTATTACTCCTAAATAAGGGCAATGAAAGTCAGGTTCATGTTTTGTTTGTTTGTTTATGTGATACAATATGTGTTTTTTTATGCGAAACAGTATCTTCTCAGAAGGCAAATAAAAGAAATTCACAATCAGTAATGATAAAGAAAACTGTCAATAAAATGGAGAAAAAAGTCGACACAATGTTTGAAAATTCTAGCATTATAAAGTTAAGCTTAATAATCAAAGAAATGTCCAAGTTTGTGCAGTTGTCATAAAAAGTGGTATTTATGCATTATTCTTGGTAGATTATATTCAGATGTCTGTACAAAGTGTCTGTCTTCAGGATACCTCGGCTGGAGTTACAGACCTCTTAGTTTGAATTTTTCATGAAAGGTCTCTGCAGCTTGAGAGCTTGAAGCAGTCCGTGGTTCCTGCCCACTGTGTGATTAATGGTGACTCACTGTATTAGAGTTTAATACATTTAATTCCACTTCTCCACCAGCCCCCCCAACAACAGTTATGTCCAGCATTCCTGTCAAACACAGGAAAAACTTTATTTTCAGAAGGAATAAATTATTATGAGTTTGAGAGAAATGAGTCATTGAGCACCAGGAATTTGCAAATACACTCTTCACACTGTAGAGACCCTAAGTCTAAAAGGAAGAAGGTCCTCTTACCCGAGATTCAAAAATGCTTTTCATAGCCTCTGCAGTTTGGTTATATAGTTGATGTTTTTTAGGGGATATGTGTATCACAATTTTAATAGAAAGGATCACCAAGTTATATTTTACAGGGTAATATCAGATTCTTCTCACTTTTCCGTTATGACTTCGGTGTTTGTACATATAATGAAATATGGTAAACAAAAGGTCTGCAAAATACCATAGAACAAGATGCTTTCATAAGGGAAGTGGGTAATTCTTTTAAAAAGAACATTTACTCACTCTTCTCTGAACAGTTAATTACAATGTGGGCTGAGCCAGCTGAAGTCAATGGGCAGATGAAGCAAAGGTACCAAGATGATTTGTCTCGGAATCTAACCCCTATCTCCCGGTGGCAGAGCAGGTGGCTTGCTGCCAGTGAGAAGGCCTACACAGAACAAACCTTTTCCAGTCAATTCTACTGCTAGTCTGCAAGCTAGCTGCATAGAAAAGCAGGGCTCCAGAGCCCCTCAGCTACCGTAAAACTTCCTTTCCCCTGGTGCCGACAGTCTCCATCATTTCACTGTATCGATCTGCTTTGCAAAGTCTATGTGGCAATGCTCACAAGAAGTCTAAATAAATGGTCATGAGACCATTTCACAGAAGTCTGGTATTAAAAATTTAGCTCTAGGAGTCCTGGTGAGAAGTGACACATTCAAGCAAATGATTGTTATCACTTCTGGGCTTTATCATGTTAAAGAGAAAAATTGTTTCTAAAAATATGACAACCCCTGTCCCTTCATTGCTGTGATCTAAGCAATTGGAGTTAATTACTGATTTTCTATATCGTAAGACAAACATATTTAAAACTCCACTTAGGTTGTAGAAATATACTGTGCTAAGCTCCACGTAAGCTTCTGTTGATTTTAAGTGTCTTTCCTAGGTAAAAAGCGCACAAGGACTTCTTTCACTGAAGATAACTGAGAAATTGTTGGATTTAACATAAAGATGCAGACACGCTTTCTTCAGTTTTTTTCTGAGACAGTATACTTTGTGACTCACTGGATAACTTGCATCAGACGCAATTTAATGAAAGCTCTCAAATAAGCAATTTTATTCCTATCCATGATTGCAGACATTTACAAAACCATAACATCTGAGATCACCTTAAAAAATAACTTATATAAAGCAGTGATATACACAGCACAAAATAGTTCAGGGAGGGGCAGGAGCAACTTTTAATAATTAAAATGTAAACGTGAAAAAAAGGATGGAATAAAAGTCCCTACTTACTTCTACTTAATATGTCATGTGATATTTTACAATGTCCTGTGGGCCAATGTACGTATGTGCATATGTCCGTATAATATACACATATGCAATACATTCTCTTTCCCACACATATACATACACAGATAATTATTTGCAGTTCAGTTTGGGGCAATTCTAATATGCCACTCCGTACAGTTGCTTGAATCACGTTTGAACCCACTTTCTTCACAAAATAGGGGAGAGAGCAGGAAATAAAAAGGTTGGTTTGGTATGACTGAGATTCCTTTGTTTAACTGTACACTGTGATGAATAATTTTCTTCCGTAGTAGTTCTGTGAAGGGCTGACTCACTGTGGTTTTCATGAAGAGACTTGGTAATGCATCACACACTCATTGTCATGCTAGGGGAGTACTGGAAGGAAAGAAGAAGCCATATTTTAACAACAATTCTTTTACAGACCACTGAGGTTCTTCTTGGCATAGCAATAGTACAGTAACTGTGAATTTTAATTACTTAAACTCTTCTATGCTCACGTTTTTAACCTCAGACAACATAAAAATAAGAAGCTATTAAAAGAACTGATTTATATATACTTGACTTAGATCTGAAATTTTCAGGATTTTCTCTGGAAATCATACAGTCCCATTTTCTCCCCAGACCTGTTAATGTTTTGTTGTTGTTCTTAAGTGCTGTCTAGTAAGTTCTGACTCACAGTGACCTTTTATAGTGTTTCCAAGGAGGGGCTGGTGGGTTTGAACAGCCCACCTTGTTCAAATCAACCTTGTGATCCAGTACTTTATCCTACAGTGCCACATCAGGGGGAGGCTGATCTATGCCCAGTCGTTCAGTCTTCTTCTTCCATGTTTCCTGGGCATTTGGAACAGTTTGGGTTTAGTCATAATGAAATATGAGGGGGCTTCAAAAAGTTCACGGTAAAAGGAAATGAAAAGGCAATGGAATTTCCCCGCTAACTTTCTGAAGTCCCTTGTACCTATGAAACCAGTGTCTGCTACCTATTGTTATTGCTGTTGTTGTTAAGTGTGATTGAGTTGGTTCCAACCCATAGCGACCCTGTAGAGGGTTTCCAAGGAGCGACTGGTGAGCTTGAACCGTCAACCTTGCAGTTCACACCAACTTTGCAGTCTAGAGCATTAACCCACAGTGCCACACCAGGAATCTCTGCTACCTACTTGTTAGGTGCCATCAAGTCGGTACTGACTCATAGCAACCCTAGGTACAACAGAACGAAACAATGTCGGGTCCTGCACCATCCCCACAATTGTTACCCCCCTTGAGCCCACTGATGCTGCCACTTTGCCAATCCATCTCACTGGCGGTCTTCCTCTTTTTCTCTGACCCTCCACCTTACCAAACATGATATCCTTCTCCAGCGACTGGTCCCTACTGACAATATGTCTGAAGTATGAGAGACGAAGTTTGGCCATCCTGGCCTCCAAGAAGCATTCTGGCTGCACTTCTTCCAACACAGATCTATTGGTTCTTTTGGCAGTCCATGGCACTTTCAATATTCTCCTCCAACACCATAACTCAAATGCATCAATTATTCTATCGTCTTCCTTATTCACTGTCCAGCTTTCGCATCCATATGAGGTTATTGAAAATACCATAGCTTGGGTCAGGCTCACCTTAGTCCTCAAGCTGACATCTTTGCTTTTCAACACTTTGTGTTAAATAAGAGGTTAACAAATCTCTCTTGGCTTCATTTTCCACACTTGTAAAATGTTTTTAATAATAGAATTTACCTTAAAGGGGTTTCTGAGGAATTAAATATAAAATCTTTAAAACCATGTATTTGTTGAATACACAGATAGTGCTCGATAAATGTTAGACTAATAATAGTATGGGGAAATAAAACAACAAAACAATTCTCAAATGGCCCTGTGAAGTTTTCATTAAAAGCATTTAAAAGACATAGGAGTCTGATTTATACTTTAGCACTTAAGCCTTGTACCCTTAACATGCTCCAACTTCAATCCACAATAATTTTTGGGTGGGAGTGGGGGCATTTTTATTTACAAATTTACTTAGCATTTGGATGGGGATGATAATTTACAGAAGACAAAGCATTCAGAATTATTTTTTAAAACAGGCTCATATAGGATCTAGAGCGGGACAAAGAATAATTATTTTGATAATTATAACAATTTACCATCATGCTTTTTGAGAATAGGCTGAGAGTCTTGGTGGGGTACTGCAGGATAAGCACTGGACCACAGAGTTGGTTTAAATTGCAAGGTCGGCAGTTCAAATCCACTAGCTGCTCCTTGGAAACCCTATACAGGGTTGCTATGTATTGGAACTGATGAGACGGCACTTAACAATCACCACCGTTGTGTTGTTGGGAATAGACTGTGAAAGAGATCTTGTAGCACAGCACTGTCTGATAGAATCTTCTTGCTGAGGGATTGATCTATTACCTGTGTGTCCAACACAGAAGCCAATGTGTGGCAACTGAGCCCTTGAACTATCGCTAGTGCTGAGGAACTGAACTTTTAATGACATTTCATTTTAATGTACTGAAATGTAAATATCCACACGGGGCTACTGGCTACCATTTTGGACAGTGCAGCTCAAGGATATCTGAGATGGGCAGACATCCAATCCCAAATGGCAATGATGTGCAGATGACAAGACTTTTTACATTAAAATAAAAATGTAGCCCTCAGAATATTTGGAATGTTTTACTATAAACCTCTCTTAAAAATAATCAAGGCAAAAGGGGATTCTTCTAAACATACTCATATACTGATTGTGCCTCATTAAAAGAGGTGAGATACAGTCAAAGCGATTGGTCCCAGGCTACAGGGTTTTACCATTGAGACTCCTGGACTCCAGCACTGGACTTCAAACAACAAGGTTGGCAGTTCAAACCCATCACTTTCTTGGAAACCCTACATAGGGTTACTTTGATTAGGATCGACTCAACAGCACTTAACAACAACAGTGATACTCCTGAGGGAGGAGGGTGACAAACTTTTCAGACAAAGAAGAGAATAAAGTCAATCCCAGAGGAGCCGAGGTACAGTACAGGAAGCAGGTAAGAGTGGGTTATACATTAATAGTGAGAAAGCAGGATTCCCTAGGGAAGAACTCAGCTGACAATTCCTCAGCTGCAGTAGCCTGAGTCAGAAATTTCCATTCGGGGAGAAAAGTTAAGATTGATGCTAATGAATAGGATGAAAACAGGGAGATTGACAGGGAAGAGAAAGGGGTCCAGAATGCCCTAAAAACTTGTCTACATAGTAGGAGCAAAAAGAAATAAAAACAGGAGCTGATGAAATAGAAACCACCCCTGGGCCAGTGTTAGAAGGGGGATATACCCTGCTATGGATTTAGGAGGATTTCCAGCTTCTTTGTGGGAAGAAGATGAGGTTTTCTGCTCCCACAAATATTTACAGCCTTGGAAACCCTATACAGGGTTGCTATGAGTTAAACCCAACTTGATGGTACTTAGTAACAACTTAACTAGCTTCCCAAACTGGGAGAGAATAAATTGTTTGTGAACACCATCCACTTGTAGTATTTGTGTTATATCAGCACTAGATAAATAATCTGGCATAATTTGGTATTGAAAGAGTGGGGTGCTGCTCTAAGATATACCTAAAATATGGAAGCAGTTTTGGGATTGGGCAGTGAGTAGAGGCTGGAAGAGTTTGAGAGTTTGAAAGTGCGTAACAATAAAAGCCTAGACTGCCTCGAAGAGACTGTTGCTGGAAACATGGTCATCAAAGTTCATTCTGCTGAGGGCTCAGAAGGCAGTGAGGAGAGTTGGAACACTGGACGTGGTGCAGATGGTGAGAAGCAGTGGCAGAGAAATTGTGTCAGCAGAAGCAGGTGGCTGGTGTAAGATGGTACGGGAGAGGACCCATGGAGCAAGAGTAAAGTGTCTTTGGGCAGGAGTCTTCCTGGCAAAGGAGAGTACCTCAGGGCACTTAGCTCAGCCAAAGAGCTTTGTAACACTTGCCCAAGCAAGGCAGAGACTGGGCTGGCCCTAATGCCCTGAAGGAAGCAGAAAGGAGAAGCTGTAGAGACAAGGGGTACAGGAAACACAGCTGACTCTCCATCTCAGAAGGTAGGATGATACCTCTGTTGTTTACAAGGGTGGAGCCACAGCCTCCAATGTTTCAAAGAGTCAGATCCTCATCAACTCAGTTCCAGAGTGTGGTGTTTCTGCTCAAAGTGCTTGGGGAATGTGGTCATCAGATCTGATGTCCAAAGCAGAGAAGTGGGGCTGCCATGCCCACGGGGCAGAAGAAGGGGACCTTTCAGGACTGACGGTGTGCAGTTACCATTCAGATAGACTGGGAGAACGGAACTGCCCATTTTCCCATTACCTAGAATGTGGAGCCAGACCCTATGACTATGGGGTCTCCACCCAGAATCCAGAGAGTGGCCAATATCTTAGATGGCAAGATTGTTTCTAAGATGGTCTCAGAGAAATTGTTCTGCTGGAATTTGGACTTGTTTCTTGTCTTTTATTTCTCCGACTTATAATACAGTTGTCTACCAATTGTTTTCTCCATCATGGTACTTTGGAAACAGATAACTTATAGCTTAGATTTCACAGGTCCACAGATGTAGAGGAAACTGACCTGTAGTTGATTATATCTTATGGGATAATACTGATGGGGCAAATGTGACGTACATGTCACATAGGCAGGAATTTGGAGGGTCAAAGAAAGCCATAGAAAGAATTGTGTTCCCCACAAATATCTGCCAATTTGGCTAGGCCATGGTTCTCAGTATTATGTAATTATTCTCCATTTTGCAATCTGATATAATTATCCTATATGTTGTAAATCCTAGTCCATGATATTAATGAAGCAGGACAAGAGGCAGTTCTATTAATGGGTTAGGTTGTATCTTGAGTCAATCTCTTTTGAGGTGGAAGATAGATTAAACAAATCAGTAGAAATGGAGGGATCCAATTACAACCAAAATACTAGAGTTGCACTTTGGACCCAGGGTCCCTGAACTGAAAGCATCATAGACCCAGCAGAGGTATAATGCCAAGACTCATGAAGATCTCCAAGGAACAGTAGACCCACAGATGTGGAACGGAGGCAAGGACCTTCCCTCAGAGTTGACAAGAGAGAAGCAGCCTTCTCCTAGATCTGGCACCCTGGATTTGAGCTGCTAGTCACTAGGTTTCAGTTTGCTAAAGACATCCTCCTCCTCTGGTCTTTCTGTAATTGCATAACTAAGATAACCCCCATCTCAGCACAAGATGCCATGTAAAGCCTCACTCTACAAATAATGACAGCAAACTTTAATTATCCACTTTCTGGTGGAGTAGAATTATATTTTGGCACTTGGCTTTTATGGGACAGATAAAACAAGAAAATTAATGAATTTTTTAAAGTAGGAAAATAAAAAACCAGGAAGTATGC